TCCCTTTGGATGCTCTCTAGGCCAGGAAAGGGCAGGTCCATCACTTTAACTCTCCATCATCAGTCATTGGCACATGCTGCTTCTGAGGTAAATGGGAAAATGGTGGGCAAACAAGAAACCAGAGGTCTCTGCGCCTAGCCTGGTCTGCTGCCAGCTGTGTGTGACTGCAGACTCACCCTTCCCCATTCCAGGCCACAATTCCTCCCTCTGTAATATGGAGAGGCTGGGCTAGAAATGATCTCGAAGGCCCCTTCCATCACTGATAGCCCAGGCTTCTCTAATTGCAAGATTCAAAGGATATTATTTAATTAGTTTCTAATATTCTTGAATCTCAGTCCTTGAACATCCTTTGATTACGAGCTTGTAACATCCTGGTCCTCTCTTCTTTGAACTTTCTGCAATTTGAGGTTTCTAACATTTTGTCACTCTACTCCTCACATTTGGGCTCCAAGCTGATAATATTCTATGATTCTCTAAGAGGTACTGGGAATAATAAGAGAAGTAGCCTGACTCTGCCTCCAAGCTAATGGACCCAGGGGGAAGAGAGAGCTATGCCCCAAGCTGGGAAGTCTGAGACTCAGCTTCCTGGTAGCCTCTGGCCCCCTGCCAGCCCCCACCCCTGGGCTTCCTTGGAAGCCCAGGATTGGGGTAGGCCCCAGACATCTTAATCCCCCCCTATCCCCCAGCCAGGCCATTTTCCCTAGACAGGCTGGGGGAGCAGCTGGGGTTGCCCATGTGCCCAGCCACTCTCTCACCTCAGGCAACTAGGGGCAACCTCTGCCCTCTGGGTGCCCTCAGGAACCTGGTGCCTAGGGTGTAGAGGGAGGGGAGGGGAGATTTCCAGAGAAGCTAGGAAAAGGAAGTCATTAGGGACAGTGAGTCAGCAGAGGCAATAGCCTGAGAAAGGCATCCTCTTCTTCTGTGGTCCCCTGTCAAGGAATTGGACTCAGGCATTCTGTGTCCCCAGCCCACAGGGGGAGGGGCAGAGGCAATCCTAGGCCCACAAAGTTGGATGGGAACCCTAGTCCAACCAAAGTGGGAAACAGATCCTCTTTTCTACCTAGACCTCATTCTAGTCTGGGGAGGGAGGGGAAGTGTTCTGGAGGGACCAAATAACCGATTTAGAGTGGTTAGTGGAAAACCCCAGAACTCGAACCCTGCTGTGCTATTTATCACCTGTTTTGGTATGTATTTCTTAACCTCTGGACCTGTTTCCTCATTAGACTAGGTCATCTCTAAGGGACCTTCGGGAGTTAGATCCTACCTAACCTAGCCCAGGACATTAGACCCAGAGCAGACTTCCCCTCTGTCACCCTCCCTTCCTCCTCCATACCAGTAATGATCCTGTAATGAGGGCTGGCGGCTCAGCCTGATATTTGACACCTTCACAGTTCAACCAGCCTCCTCTCCTCTTCCCTGTGCTTGCATTCATCAAGTTGACCACAGCTTTCCTATCCTTGCTCAGGCTACTAGTGCCACCTAAGATGAAATGGCTCTTTCTCTCCGCCTATCCCAGCTCTCTTCCAGCATGATCCACTCACCTGGACAGGGTTCCTCCTTCTGTCCCCCTAGATCTGGAGTTCTTAACCCACGGGGTCCATGAGCTTGAATGAAAAAAAAGTTACATCTTTATTTTCGTGAACATCCGGTTGAAATTTAGCATTTCCTTTCATCATGATTGTACCTCAGCCCCAACATAGTGAAGTCATTTTGCTCCTCTCTTAGAACGAAGGACAACAGCCAACAACGAGGATAAGAAACAGCACTGTCAGCAGCACCTGGGACTTAATCACTAATAGAAATCAGAGATGTTTTTGTAACACATGACAGTGGTCACAGATTATCTCAGAATAATGATTTCTTCTCATCGCTGCTTCAAAATGACTGTAGCTGGCAGACCCACTTCTAGATCCTATGTGAACAGTCTTCTGATGCACAGATTGCATGCAGATTTGGGTATTTCCTTTATGATCTTACAAATTCTATTCTCTGCATTTAAAACCGTGATTCTGAGAAGAGCGTCAAATTTCACACCTCCCTGTTTTGTCCTAGTGTTGAATGGAGCATTTTGAGTTTGAAGGAGCCACAGAGGTTGTATAGCCAGCCCAGTGATGTCGAACTCAAATAGAAAGGGAGGGGGCAGCTTGGAAGAGGAGGGGGCCGCTAAACCATCCATGAGGATTCCTACAAGCCTCATACTGATGTAAAAAAACACATATTAACATTATTTGTTTTATTTTTATTTATTTTGTTAAATATTTCTTCAAATCTGGCCTCAGACACATGACACTTACTAGCTGTGTGACCCTGGGCAAGTCACTTAACCCCGATTGCCTCACCAAAAAAAAAAAAGAAAAAAAAAGATTGTCAAACATCATCAAACATGTAATTGGAACATATTTAATTAAATAAAAAAAATTTCCCAGTGACATTTTAATCTGGTTCAGGTCACACTGGGCAGCCTGTGGATTTGACACCTCTGATCTAGTCTACCCTTCTC